CCCAAATCCATACCTAAATCCCCGTTATTAACTAACACAAACATAACAATAGAGCAAACAACGCTCACCTAGATGGTATGGCAGCAGAAGCTGAAGCTGCGAAAGGCACACCTGGAGCAGGCAGCATCAACACTCCTTCCTGACCAGAATAGGACTGACTTATGGTTTGGGACGAAGAAACACTGCCTGTGACATCTGGAACTCCTGTAAGACCAAGCACTGGGCCCTGAACATCACGGGGCATAACTCGGAAAACACGGAATTCACCCGTAGATACTCCACTTGACCCAACCATCGGAAGCTTGACCTCAAATCTGACAAACTGGCCGAGCAAAGCCTCAAGTTCAGGCGGCAACTGGCCAGACCTGTGAGGATATCTCTGGGCCAGAAGTTGGGCAGATGTGAGGACCAAATTGTTCCCGCACGGGCCGAAAATAATGAAAGGGGCCTCATCAGTGGCATCACGCAGGGTCAATTGGATCTTGTAGCTAGAGACGACACAGTAAAACACAGAGACAATTTCATCAGGATAGGCGTGGGAGTGCAAACTAACAAAAAGTAAGCAAATTCTATGAGACCTGACAGGCACACATTTGAAATAAACAAAAACAACAACTAATGATCAGACAAAAACACACACCCAACTGTCACTTGCTGCTCAGTGATCTCCCAATGGTCAGGACACCAGTAGTTACCATTTCGCCACGTAGAACACTTTTTTCTGCACATGCTGCATGACATGTAATACCACGGGCTCCGGGACTCAACTGATCGGACTATACCACCACAACGATGCTTTTCATCCTGAATACAAACATTGATAATCTCAGAAAGCAATCAAAACACATAAATAAATGGACAACCCGAAGACCATTCTAAAATCAAGAACTACATAAGAATGCAACTCACGACAGAAGCACCGCCATGGTGCAAATCAAGAAGCTCAACTATGGTCCTGGTTCTCCGCTCAGCATCTGCAGCAGCGTCCCCTGGGGTCGCAAACTTGACCGGCAAATCAGCAATAGGAACTCTGGATCCACCAAAACTGTATAGATGGATACAAAAAAGTAAAGCAAACCAAACACCACAAAGCAAATCTGGAACAATAAAATCACAATTTAACAACAAAGAACCCACAAAGCAGCGAGACTGTATGCTTCTGGTATCCTCGGGCTAACAACTATACGGGTTCCAGAGGAGCTCGAACAGGAATATTCACCAGCTACACACAAAAAAAAAACAGTTCATAATTTATGATCAAGCAGAATGGAAAAGAGTCAAAATACACACCTATCAAACGGCCAACCATGAGCCCCCAACTCCAACGATCACTGGCTCAATGGAGTCAGCCTGAATCAAAGCAGGTCGATCAAGGACTGCCGTCAGTTCATTCCAAAGCGTGATCGACACTCTCTGGTTCCTGACAGCAAAACAAAGGATCATATCTTACGTGACGATGATGAAACAGTATTCCCCAGTGGGAAAATAAAATAACACAAAAGACCTACTGTGCATTCTCAAGGACCAGAACTTGTTTTGGAGTCGAGCCGTGATTAGTAACCTGATGATCAATCCCGCTAATAGAATGAAGACGGCCGACAACATCTGAGCAAAAAAAAAAAGAGTAATAAGAAGACATAAAACCCATTTCATTTCAGTCAAGAAAACGCAACAATTACCTGCAAGGATACGATTGTCCCCTGAACGGTTAGACAGCTCACTATAAGGAACAACCTCAAAGGAATCAGTTGGAAATTCAGCTGCAGGTAGAGAACAGGCCTGGAAAATAGTTGTTGCTGACAACTCTATTATCAGATCAAATGAGCATGCACGATAGAGATTCCTTGCGGCACTGAGACCAAAAGACCTTAGAACGTAGATAACTCCCACGCGCAGCACACGCTCAAATTCAGACCCAATAGAGACATCAGCAAGGCTCTGAATAAGCATACCCTGAATCAAAAACAAAAAAAAGACAGTAAAGAAAGAGCAAAGAAGGGTAAAAAAGAGGGAAAAAACAGGAAAAACTGTAACCATAAAGAATCAACGCAAGAGAATCTACCGTCTGATCCACCCAAAGGCAACAGTGACTAAACACCCTTGTCCCAGAAGGATTCTTGGCATACCACATATGGAGCAGACGAAGCCTCAGCGTCACCTCTCTGGTACCTCCTTTGATATTGCAGAGCAGAGTAGCATCCATGGCGAGGAAAAAGGCGAGAAAACAACAACTGAACCACAGAGAACAAAGAGAGGAGAAAAAAAGAGAGAAATGCGTTCCGAGAATGAGTCCTCTTGTGCAAAAAGATTGGGAAATGGCCTTCTCCACCTGAGCGCACACATCGAGGCATGCAAAAAGAATAAGAGACTACCTTCTCCACCTGAGCGCACGCATCGAGGCACTGAATGACGTACACAGTGTTCAAACAGTAAGCTTTTCTGACACCCTCCCGCCATCAGGTGAATAACCGGTATCAATCAGCCGCCCACCATTCCCAAAGCACCTCCAATCCTAGCCAATGAGCCGGGAAGTTTCTCCAACATAGTCATGCGAACAACAACCCAACACGACCCTCTAGCAATCCCTAACAGACACAATCATATCATGCAAGACTCACCGAGGACATCTGAAGGCCCCGTCCCTTAGGTGAATAACCGGTATCAATCAGTTGTCCACCATTCCCAACGCACCTCCAACCACAGCCAAACAGTCGCCAAGTTTCTCCAACACAGTCCTGCGAACAACAGCCGGAATCCTCAACAGACACAATGATATCGCGCAAGACTTACTGAGCACATCTGAAGACCCCATCCCACGTGCCCATTCGGGCCAAAGTAAAATATCGATCTCTGATGACCAACGCGCGTCCGGGCCACCAAACGACCCCAACGAAGGCCAACCAGAAGCTAAACACCAGTCCCACCCCGACCGAGCCCCCAAACTCCGTCAGATCCCAATGAGGCCTCACCCAACTCCAGCCCACACCGAAGGACACGCCAGTTTGAAACAGTAAATCTCAGTCACAATGGACAGTAAAAGGTGTCTGTGTGTATAGTACCAGGGGTTGCGGTGGGTTTCTTTCTTTCAATTTTCCCTTCCCACCCATTGTGGCCAAACCCTCATTTCCCTATTTTCCCACCCAAATTTCCTTCTTTTCCCTTCCACCATTGTGGATGGTCTTAGTAGTGATAGCAATTTTGTTCGTTTGGGGAGGGTTTGCTTAAACCATTCTCATTCTCGCTTTCTAATATTTATATCCATACGCTCTCATATTTATGCTGGAGAAAATTTTTCATATCCATCCTTATACTTGTGGGTTTCGGGTACTCATGGGTAATATCCGCCCCGTACATCTAACATTACAATACCTAATATTTTGCATGTAGATTTTCAATTATAATGCGCCTACTATATCATGAAGTCGACAAATAGACAATCAATTGTAATACGGTTCAAAGAAACTTTTCCTAAAGTTCATTAATCCATAAGATAGAGTACAATGTAATCCAAATCATTATTTTCTACTGTGATACATCTACTAGGTAGTAATTAACTAACATAATCTTGTTAAGAAGAGGAAAAAAGTGAAAGAGTTAAGGAAAAATTGAGAGAAAGAAATTAGATTTTGATTTGGGTGGGCACCCAATTGCATTTCTACTATATATTTTCTAGAGTTACGCTCACTATTATTGATTCACATATTTTTCATATGTGAAGAAATACTTTTGGTGGGGTGGGTATGAGTATGGGTATGGGGCGGGAGGCTAAAACCATACCCGTCTCATACCCATCAAACTTTTTACGGGTTTTACCCATACCCACCCCATACCCAGTCAATACGGGGATTTCTCGCGTTGACTGAGTTGTGGGCGGTCGGATACCCGTGGGCATGGGTTTGATTGTCATCCCTACTTGTTGGGTTCATTTTACATACCAATTTTTATTTTAATAATATATAAAACTAGAACGATCAAGTTGTTCGTATGAATTATCAAATATAAGTACATTACGACTACTACGTATATAGTTTTGCATGTTACGTTAGAATATACTTATTGTGAAATTAATTTTACTACGCATTAAATTCTGAAATAAACGAATCATGTTAGGTTTATTAGCACGATTTTATAGTTGATTTGAGGATCGATCCTACTTTGATCAGTTTGCGTTTGAAAGCAAAACTTTTAAATTAGCTAATTAATAAGTGTGCCCAACGCGATGATATAATCAAGAACTTTATATAAAAATTGTCTCTGTTTTTCTATTTAATTGTGTATATATTGAGTGTGTCCATGAGTCAATTGTTTTAAAATAATAATGAAGATGGGCCTCTTGATGTCACAGTCACAGTACACTGAGACAAAAATAATAATATATTCTTCTCCTTTTCCTCTTTCACAAATCTAATCTTCCTAAAACATAATGACAACTGACACTATTACTTCAGAAGAAAAACGATAAAAGTAGGATTGGGATTAGGTGCTAGTCCTATAAGAGTTAGCACCGTGATAACTAGCAAACAACGCTACTAAAAATAATGAAATCACTACGGATTATTATAAAATCAATACAACATCTAAGCTAAATCACTACTAATTCAAACTAGTAGTAGTTTTTCCCTTGGTTAGGACGGTGCTAACTATTGTACAATTAGCACCGTAACTGCTCCCATAAAAGTATCAATCAATCAATCTACTGAGCGGCTTAACTGCTATTGCTATATCAACAAAACGAGATAATCGTTTGTGAAAAAGCAACGAGAAATGGCACAGAAGGGCCGGGCTTTGGAGGATTCATGTTGGGTTTTTGGCCCATAAAACTCCAAGCCCGCATGAACCTCTGCCCCAACAAGCCAGTCGCTGTTGTGAACGGCAACTTACAAAGTTGGCATTTGGCAGCTGAAAAACTAACACATAATTTCATAAACCTTTCCTTCAGGTAAAATCCAAACTCAGTACAAGCCAAGCAAATTCCATAAGCACATAAAAAGGAACCTCAATGGTACTTTCACCATTCATTGATTATATGAATATACATATACAAGTCAATTTACAAGAACCAACATCCCACATTTGACTTTTTTGGGTGTTTGGTTTGCCTCACTCACAAGCTGGCACCAATCCGTGCAAAATCTTGTTGCAGCCTGGATTAATATAAACAAAACGAGAACTGGAATCTCAAAAGTCCTGCAAAGGCCAGGATTCACTCTGCCATTGCTGCTCCACTTGCCTTTGCTGCCAGTTTCCATACAGTCAGTAGACCTGTAGCATCTCCAGTGAAAACCAGTCCCCCAGGACCTCCTTTGATGGTCCTTACTTCACCTTTCGCAAATATCCTCCCTTTCTCAGCAAAGGAGGGCAGCTCATACAACCCAACCGAATCGTCGTTCCAGGAGCACAACAAAACCGGCTTGCCATCCGGGTCTTCCACCCCACACATAGCTAGAGCACCATCACCTTCTTCGTATGTATACACCGCCTCAAAGCTTCCATCTTCACCGGTGGCAGCCCACACCTTGATCTTCTGGTCCAATGAGCATGACAGAAGGAAGTCTGAATAGCAGAGGAGGGACATCACTGCATTGTCATGCCCCTTCATCGTCTGAATGCACTGAAGAGTGCTGATATCCCAAACTTTGATGGTTCCATCCATGGAGCCAGAGAACAATCTCCCACCTCCAACCTTCATTGATATGACAGCACTGGTATGGCCACTGAGTGTTGCAGCAGGCTGAAAAGGGTTGCCTTGTTGCTCACCAGTATTTCCTTTCCACGCCAAAATCACTCCATCCTGAGCACCACCAGCAAACAAAAACCCCATACCAACCTCCAGGGCATAAACTTGGCCAGTTGGGCCAGTGAGACTGCAATCAGCCCCAGTTTGAAGGTTCCATGCCTTGACGGCATTGGGTAATCCCACAAAGAGCCATTCACATTCAGTAATCAAACACCCAACTTTCCCACCAGCATTCTGTGTGCCCACAATCTGGCCACTAGTGCAATCCCAAGCGTGGACAACCCCATCACTGCTCCCCGTGAAAAGCTTATCAGATCCAGAAGGAAGAGCGATTCCAGAAACCACACCCGTGTTACCCTGTCCTTCGAGCCTCGCAAGCATTGAAAACCCTTGTCCACGGGACCAGGAGTGCAGGAATCTACACTTATCTTCGCCTCTGCTGCAATTCCCAGACTTCCAGTCGCGACAAACCTTATTTTCGCTCTTCTTCCGAGCCGCGCCGCCACCGACGGCCGTAGATTGGGATTCCGAACGAGACGCGCGGTGGTAGACATGAGAAGAACGCACGCCGTTAGAAATCTGCTGCTGCTGCCGCGGCGGAGGAAGTTCTCCTCCGTGAGCGAATCTGCAAGGGTTTCGGTTGCACATCCCCTGTTGCCAGAAGCGACAGACACTCTGACTGCTGCCACTACTCTTCACAGGCCCAACCCTAATCCGTTCGTGGACACTCATATTCATCACCATATGCTGCAAAAGTCACCGGCAAAGAAGACGAAGGGAAAATCGACTAATCAAACTCGAGCGGCGGCGGACGACGAGGAAACAAACGCAATGAAACCCTAGAAAAAGACTGCGCGCTAAATCGGGAAATACTGGAGTAGACTGGGAGCGAACCTGGAGAGATACGGAAAGAGAGACGCCGACGATCGATTGCACGCCGGCTGAGATGGAAATCGGAGCTTGCTACAGATGATGTTAACGATCGGATTCAGACGAGAGATGGGGAATTTCTCTCAGACAACGGGACGGGAAAAGGAAAACGTGAAGAAATAAAGTTAGCAGTAGTAGTGTGGGATTTTATACCTATTGATAGCGTGGCGCGGAAGGAAAGCTAAACTGCTAAACCGCGTCGTCATTTTCCGGTTCTCCTTCCCCTGGGTGGAAACGGAATCCGCCTTCATTTCGGTTTTGGAAAATACAGTTCGGGCTCAGAGCTATTTCTCATGGGCCTGCTCTTGAGCCTGAGTCTGGGCCAGGCCCTTTATCTTCGTACCACTTATAAAACAGGGGCCCGTTTGCTCGCATTCAAAGTCCGCTGGATAGAGGCTCTCGTTTCTGCTTCCTCGATGTTCAGTTCCGGCATGTCACGGACCAAGGCTCTGAAGTCTGATCATCATGCCCTATTGTCATGGAACATGGAAATAAATCCTTAAGATACAAATAAAATTTCAACCTATAATTAATAAATACTATGGAAATAACAAAATCCAACACAAATCCAAAATAACAAAATCTCACATTATCCTTCTTCCATAAAATCCAGGATTTTACCTAAATCCTTCATTTTTCAAAATTCTACATGCAAACTACCTCTTAATTCAAGAGGAGATAGTAACAAGACTTTACACACCACTTTATGAGTAGCTAGGGGTGGGCATACGGTTCGGTAAAACCGAACCTAACCGAACCGAATTCAAACCGAATCGAAACCGAATAACATTACTTCGGTTCGGAATTCGGAAGAGAAAAGGGTATATTTCGAAAACCAAGGTCCTTTCGACCGAACCGAATTTCCGAACCGAATTTCCGAATTACTATAATTGCAAGTTCCTAATGGTGAATTTTTATGTTTGTACTTATTATGAGACTTAAATATTTGAATTATGTTAGTGTTTTATGAGTTATGTGTTGAAATGTTTGATTTTATCATTGATGATGCATTTAATTGCATATTTATTGTTTACAATAGGGGTGAAAAATAATTTGAAAGAGAAAAAATACAAGCTAACCTCACAATTTCGGTTTTTCATACAAAACCGAACCGAACCGAACCGAATTATAATTCGGTTTGAATCGACCGAACCGAATTATAATTCGGTTCGAATTCAGTTTGAGGTTTGATGGAACTCGGAAACCCGATATTCATTATTTCGGTTCGGTTTGAACCGAACCGACCGAATGCCCACCCCTATGAGTAGCCCCATCTGCAGTTATTGAAACTTCTTTAAACTCTAAACAAAAAGACATTGAAGATAGTGGAAGGAGACAATCACGAAGCACAGGTCCTCTGAGTGAGTCTGAAGATAAACCTTGACGAAACTTATGGATCACCACTTTTGAATGGCATTCGATGATGAGGCGAGGCAAGGACTTGGAAACCACGAGTGAAATGACATCCCTTGCTACAAGTAGCTCCACGAGGTAAGGGTCAGCTATGCCGGAGTGTTGGGATCGGACCCTACCGCCAACACAACATGTCCATCTACCCCGAGAACAATCAGGCCAGACGAGAAACTAGAATCACGAACAACAACATCAAAGTTTATCTTGAGGAAATCATCTGGAGGAGGAACCCATGAGGTAGGCTGAGTCGATGAGGGGCGAGGAGGAGGGTTGGAGCGGGAGGGAGCGAGGAGGAGGAGGAATTGTAGCGGGAGGGAGCCAGGAAGACACTTCAAAAACTTGGAAATAACATTGACGAGCTAGAGACTGGGCATGTGGTTGATAATGCTCAAAGACCACCTTATTACAAGACTTCCATATCCTCCACAGTACGAATAGGCATTGGAGAACATGGGTTTGTGGGTGCTAGAAAAGCATAACATGTCGCCACCAGAGACTGGAATTCACAGTCGGAGTCGAGGCAATGAAATCATTTAGACCCATAAGTGACCACGACATGGTGGCCAATGGGCGTTTAAAGTACAAGTGTTCAATACTTTCCCGACTCCTCCAACAAACAGGACATGCATTAAATTTGTTTCACATAAAAATCAGATTAATTATACTTATCAAAATGACATTCATTTTGATATTTTTGTAACAAAAAAGTTTGAAAGTGCGTATTACCATTCTATACCATGGTGGTAATTGTAACACCCTACTACTTCTTGTAACATCCTACTACTTCTTCTCGTACTATTGGAACCATCATCACATTATATACTCATTAAAACTTAGGTTTTAACTTCACATTAAGACTTGGACATAACACTAGCATAAGGGTTACATCACTTGCTTAGGAAATTCAAGCTAGTTTTCCCAAAGCATCCAAAAGCATAACACCGAACGATGCAAAGTTTGAGTTTAAAACAAAGTACAAATCCAACATAGTAGTTTAACATTCAGTGGGTACACAAACTTAAAAGCGTTAAAACATTTAGTTCGACTTCAAAAGTGAAAACATGTGGAGAGTTCAGTTCCGCCGCACACCTTTCAGCCATCCGGCTGACTTCACTGGTTCGACCGAGGCTTCTATTGTTGCTTTGGCTCTGAAAGGGAAAAATATTGGCGGGGGTGAGACGCCACTCAATGAGTAATTAATAACCCAACATATACTCCAGTTGCGCACGGTGATCAGGTGCACCAAGGGCATTAAGTGAGCTAGTAGCTTAAATGGTACTTTACCCAACTATGTATGCAAGGTTCATTAACCAATCTAAGCAGTTCTCATATCATACACACTCGCCCTAGAGTTACTCATATCAAACCCTATCCAGATAAAAACATTCACTAACACATCATTTGGGTATCACCATATAATCCACAACATATGGAGGCATGTAACAACTACACAATCTCATAATGAATCATTGCATGAACACATCACAGTAAAGCCTTCGCATAAATACATCAATATCAAGAACAATCTATTGAACTCATCGTATGAAACATCACGTAGCCACATCACAGAAAATCCTTGTACCAAGGCTCAAACACAAGCATAGTTAGCTAGGTTATGTACATTTTTCTTTTAATGCCAAGTTATGCACTCCCCGGGTGTTGTGAACTCGTGATCTCGTAGGCACAAAGTGCCAAAATCTCATAAACTCGTGGGCACAAAGTGCCATATCTTATGAACTCGTAATCTTGTGGGCACGAAGTGCCATATCTCGTGAACTCGTAGCCAGGCCTGGCGATACTCCTTATAGGGAGTTCTCGTATAACTCTTTTCTTCTCTTTTTCTTTTCATGAGTGCATAACAAGGCGCCATTATGTTTTTATTAGGTGATCACGTAGTTCAAGGGTTAGATAATACTCATGTAAAGCATCTCGTCGTAAGCCCGTAGGCACACATATCATATCATATACTCATTGATGCTATACACAATCATCTCAATTGCACACCAATACATTCTTCACATAGCTCATTCATCAATGCACGTTGAAAATAGCAAACTCATACACATCCACGTTATCAATCCTCATCACATAAGTTTTTACTCATTCATAGCTCATTTATCGATCTATCACAAGTCCACGTATCCGGGCCGCTTCATGACCCGAATACCATGCCCATACTAAAATATATATTAGGTTAAGAATTACTCACAACTCGATTACTCTGCTAAACCCTTTTGCCTTGATGATTCTCCGGCTTGCTCCTTGCCTTTTAAGAAATCACGTATGAATGATTTAGTATCACTTGTATTTATCATGTTTATCATAATTAAATACCAAGAGATCAATCACAATTATTCCCCCAATCTATAAACAATTTTCGGTGCTCACAGGTCACATAGGTAGCCTTACTTTTCTAATGTATATATATATATATATAAGTACTATACATTTAGTCCTACAACTCTGCTCAATTAATTCCTATCACTTTAGCCTCGTCATTAGTCATTTAATAACATGATTATGCATATGACTACATACTAATAACCCACGTTAATTAGTTCTCACCTAACAATGAACTCAACAGCACATGCAAGAGATTATATACATAGATATATATATGTATCTCCCTACACCACCCATCCTAGAAAACTCACATTCCCACCCCAGCATCTGTTTCTTAATTGGATATATATGTATATATACAACCAACAACCATAAAAGACTACATACATACGTAGGTTCTTAATCCACAGTAGCAGATAAACTCAACCAAAGCTTACATCAACTTCAGAGAGTGCTAATTCACTCTTTTTATCCCCAAAAGATCGGCTAAATTACAAGTTTGGTCACTCATATTACATAAATTTTTCACATTTGCCACCCGAATTACTTTTCTTTCATATTAGCCACTAACTTTACGATTCGTTTCACCGTTAGTCACCTGCCGTTAGTCTCCGTCAGACTCCGTTAACACCGTTAGTTTTTTTATGACTTGGCAAACGGAATTGCTGACTGGACTGTTAAATAAATGACATGTCAATTTAAAAAAAAAATAAAAAATGAGTAATTAGAGGAAAGCGCCCACCTTCCCCTCCCTCATCTTCTTCCTCTTCCTCATCATCACGCCGAACAATACTGGAGTAGCTCCTCCTCCATATCAAACAAATCCTCCATATCAAACAAAGCATAGTTGCGGCAGCACCAGCTTTGTTGGACCTTCTTTTCCATTTCCTACTATCTGCCATCTCTTCCTCCATTTTCTATAAGGGATCTTTTCCCCAAATTCAACCCCTGCAATAAAAAGAGCAATCTAGGGAACACTTGAGCTCGGGGGCAGAGATATCTAATTCAAATAACCAGAACTTCTCTTATTCCCAGTTCCTGGGAGGGAATCGAATGTCCACACCTTGGAGCTCCTTGCCGCCGCACACGCCCAAATGGTTCACGCCCCAAACGGATCCTCGGTCCTAATCTCGCAGGAGGCTAGCCGCCATTGTCGACAAGGTCGAGCGGTCGAGGCAGGGGCCGGTGAGATCCAAGTCTGTGAGCAGGAGTAGGAAGATGAGGCTAGGGACGAAAGAGACGGCGGCGGACTTGCGTTTGCGGTGGTGGTAGGGCAGAGAGAGGCGGAAGCGCTGGGCCCGATGGGTCACGCCGTAGTTTAGTAACCCAAGGTCTTTGGGCTTCAACGCCCAGGAGAAATTGAAGTT